GGGCATTTTCGGGGTCTGGGTGTGGCCAGGGACAACGCTATTCTGAGAAATTTTAGACAACATACTAATGACAATTTATACAACTAAAATGTAATTTAAAACAAGAACAGTGTATCTTATTTGCACAGGCTGATTTCCAAACACATTTATTGTAGTTTAAAGGGAGTATTAATTAATGGGAGTATTATTGCTCTGGAGCTCTGTGATACACTCATCTCCCTTCTGCCTTTTGACTGCTCCCCTCTAAATGATCCTTCCTACATGTGGAATGTGTGAAAGGATATGTGACTGGTCGCCTGTAAATATATTCTTATTCTCCCAGTGCTATAAAGCAATTTGCTAATATTAGGTGTATTTGCGTAGACACCACAATGTCAGGTTCTAATCATACAGCAACAATTTCCTGGTAGCACTATTGGGTGCAAATCTGGTACACCAGCAATATTCATTGTACTATCCTTAAATTCAACCACAGATATGTTTAATTTCTGCAGCCTTCCGATTTGACCCAGATAAACAGATTTATAAGTTACTTGGCCAGCCAGCTACTGCTAGTAATGACGGTTACAAATTATAAAGAAATGCATTCAATACATTAATTTCTAACGCTGGGAATATACGGGGCTGATATACATGGTTCGTGTTCTAATCTTCCTGTTTTTTTCATTGCAACCCACAAAGGGTTAAAGGGACACTAAAGTCACCTGAACAACTTTAGCTTAATGAAGCAGTTTTGGTGTATAGAACATGCCTCTGCAGCCTCACTGATCAATCCTCTGCCATTTAGGAGTTAAATCCCTTTGTTTATGAACCCTAGTCACACCTCCCTGCATGTGACTTGCACAGCCTTCCATAAACACTTCCTGTAAAGAGAGCCCTATTTAGGCTTTCTTTATTGCAAGTTCTGTTTAATTAAGAATTTCTTATCCCCTGCTATGTTAATAGCTTGCTAGACCCTGCAAGAGCCTCTTGTATGTGATTAAAGTTCAATTTAGAGATTGAGATACAATTATTTAAGGTAAATTAAATTTGAAAGGGAAACCAGTGTTTTTTTTCATGCAGGCTCTGTCAATCATAGCCAGGGGAGGTGTGGCTAGGGCTGCATAAACAGAAACAAAGTGATTTAACTCCTAAATGACAGTGAATTGAGCAGTGAAATTGCAGGGGAATGATCTATACACTAAAACTGCTTTATTTAGCTAAAGTAATTTATGTGACTATAGTGTTCCTTTAAGCATAGATATTAAATTATTTCTGTCTTAATAATGTGATATATCAAGTGTTAAACTATTAGGAAAAAAAATAAGAAATAAGAATGCTCAGCTTTAAAGGGACACTATGGTCACCAGAACAACTACAGCTTATTGAATTTGTTCTGGTGAGTAGAATCATTACCGTCAGGCTTTTTGCTGTAAACACTGTCTTTACAGAGAAAATGCAGTGTTTACATTACAGCCTAGTGATAACTTCACTGGCCACTTCTCAGATAGCTGTTAGAGATCCTTCCTGGATCATGGCTGCCTAAAATGCATCCAAACATGCATGCAGACACTGAACTTTCCTCATTGAGATTCATTGATTCAATGTATCTCTATGAGGAGATGCTGATTGGCCAGGGCTGTGTTTGAATTGTGCTGGCTCTGCCCCTGATCTGCCTCCTTGTCAGTCTCAGCCAATCCTATGGAGAAGCACTGTGATTGGATCAGGCTGCCACTTCTGATGATGTCAGCAGACAGGTTTTGACCATTGACTATTCTGAGTCAAACAGCATGCAGAGCTACAGCTAAAAATAAGATTTTGCTATTTTTAGGGAGGCATAGTGGTTTTAACACTATAGGGTCAGGAATACATTTTTGTGTTCCTGACCCTATAGTGATCCTTTAATTAGAAAGGATCCAGCAAGATGGATGTCTTCTAAATTAAGTGTGTAGGGCACACTAGTACCCAAAAAGCACGCAACAACGTGATCCACCTTTAGAAGCAAATTATTTTGGGATCCCTAGGACCATATGTGGATTTCACTCTTTCCCCGCTTGTGTGTGGTGTGAAGAAGGATTCACATATAGAGGAGGAAATATGCATTAATACAACCCCAAAAACCAGTCTCCTCCTAAGTACAGCTTGCAATCATTTTCCCACAGATATATATCAGGGTTAGCGGGTCTCCAAGCCCCCTTACTAGCAATACTAAATGACTAGATGGACCAGATGATGTGGCCATCCTTGTAGATAAATACTTCTCATATATACATGTAGCCAATGGTGCATAAGTCCATGACCTCCTACTGTGATTATAACCCCACACTTTCCTAATCCATCCTTCCATTGGAAAAACATTATTAAAAAAGTATGCGTCCCTACCTAACACCCCTAACTTCTAACAATTACCAAGAGGATAAGTCTTTTTTCATTTTAAAAATACTGTAATATTATATAAATTCAAACTTACATTAACCAGCATTGTCGTCTGAAGTCCTCATCTTCTACCAATGGAAATCAAATCACACTATTTCCTCTTTTATTTCTGAGTTTAGAGATTTATTTATTTTTTGCAAGGAGGACTTTGGTATCTTACAGAACAGGCTATCAGCTTCTCCTGATTTCTTTCCTTTGATGTTGGTTTGCCGTATGCCAATTGGGAGATAGCGCACCAGCCGTGGGGTGGAGGGAGAATCCAGGCCTTCTATGACATGCAAGATTCAAAAAGGAATAACGTGCCAGGATGCCATCACACCCAGGTTAGGGTACACGAAAGAGGCTATGTAAGTTAAAACAATAGAAATCAATAATTTATAAAAGTAAAATTCATAACATGTATTTATCACATTTTCAAAGTGCAGGTGAATATTATAATAATCATCAATGTACTTACTACGTGATGAGCAACAGCCACTAAACAGGTTTGTGGACATAACTTTTTTTATTGTCATTAAAGATTTTATGGAACTGGAAATTGTTCCGCAATGTTCTCTAAAATTAAAAAGCGGAATGATAGACTTTAAAAAAAACAAGACAAAGATAGAGGAAGCTTGAGGAACACTCGTTAAGGGGTTAACCCATAGACTAAAGCGATAACCAAACAGAGAAATGAGTGTCCTAACTAATAAAATATAACTTTTAATAGTAATATTTAAAAACTAGTGGATTTTAATAACCCGTCGGTAATTGAACACAATATAACAATTATGTGACAGTTAGAAAGAAATAAGGATAAATACTAACTTCCCTACTAAAAGAGCACTTGGCGACCTAGAGACTTTAGACTCATATTCATTTGAATCTCTATCTTGAATTGATCTATATTAGTCTCGGTTCCCGAGTATTTTTTACAGCTATTGCTCTTTATTGGAATTTGGGCCACATAAATACTTTTAGCCATCTCTCTAATTCTTGTTATTTGCTCAGAACGGATAGCCCTCCTATTGTTCCCACAGTAATAACGGTTTCTTTTTATCCACAGTGGCTGTATTACTGTGCTTCCCTTAGTATTATAGTTGATCATTTAACATTGAGCGCTCTGGCTGACATACGTTTTATATACTCTATCCCAGATCACCAATTGTGTAACGGTTTTAGTGGGGAAGTCAGTATTTACCCTTGTTTCTTTCTAACTGTCACAGAATTGTTATATTGCGTTCAATTACCGACGGGTTACATTATAACATCGAGACTATTCCTGTATCATTTGTATAGCAAGTGCCATTTGATCTGGCCCCTGTGGATTGCAAAACTTAGTTTTGCACACTTTACTGGGAATAGGTTTCTGAAAACTTTTGAACAGAACCTCCCAATGACTGTATATATTGTTATTTAGTAAACCTGTAACCTACATATCTATTAGATCCTAGGATATTATACTGCACTCTATCATTATTTATTATTATATTTTTGGTGTATGTTTTTGCATACACATTGCTGTATTTCTAGGCCAACCAAGAACCACTGCCGACTATACATGATTTAGGGCAGTTATCACTAGATAATGGTTTGGAACATCCTTTAATAGGATCTATCTTAGCTCCATATTATTATCTGATTGACAAGTTATCAATCAGATATTATAATAACATTGGTTTATCAACATACCTATGAATATTAGTTTGTACATACTTTAGTAATTAGATATATAATTCCCATAAATTCACTAGTTTTTAAATATTACTATTAAAAGTTATATTTTATTAGTTAGGACACTCATTTCTCTGTTTGGAATGATAGACTTAGATTATGAAAAGCTGCTATTGTCGGCTTTTATTTAAGAAAAGGCTTAGAAGAGTTATTGCAGTACAAATATCTACAAGGTAAAACACACTGGTCGGCGATGCCCTGATCATTAACAGGACTGTACGACATTCAAGAGGTCATCCATTCAGCCTTGAAGAAAAAAGATTTCACGTAAAGCAGAGAAAATGGTCAATTACAGTAACGATAACGATGTGATATTTTCTGCCAGTGCCTAGAGAGGTTGTTTTATCAAACGGCGCAAAACGCCTGGAGGCTGCTTTGGCATCATAATATATTCAGAACTATAGGTCATATACATTTTTATTAACTATATGCTAATCCAAGGAGAAATCTGATTGCAACTCTAAAGCCAGGAAAGAGCATTTTCCGTGCAATTTGAAAGCGCCCTTTCTTTATCAACAGAAGATACAGGGATATGTGAATGGTTGAACTTTAGTCGTAACTCTCTTAGGCTTATTCGCTAAAGTGAAAAGTAAAAAAAAAAAAGTTAAATGTAAGACCAAAATAGCCAAACTTGAAAACCTTATCTAACTCAGCTATGCTTCTAGTTCGGCTACTGTGGTCTTAAATTTGAAATCCGCTTTGAATTCTCATTAGTGAATAACCCTGTCTCTCAATCTCTGATGATCTTCAATCTTTAGTGACATAAGGACCAGTCTAACCCCAGCCAGAGACCCACAATGTCTGCAATGCACTCTGCTAAAAAACGTTCCTATTATTCTTGCTCGTCACAAGAGGGTGTGTTTAAACCTGAAGAACAGACCCAACCTGTCTCGTTTACAATCACCTCTGTGCACATCTTACACTACAGCAAGCTTTGTCGATTAACAGCCAGACCGCTGTGCTTCCCTCCAACTGAGTGACCTGGATAGACCCCTGTAAGGTGAGCCCCCCGCCCCGTCTGCCAACACTCAGATTAGTGCCCTGTCTATGTAGTTCATTAAGGAGTTAAAATCCAAGTAGCAATATCTCTTCTAGCTACAGAATAACTATATGCACATTTATATGTGACAATACTAGTATGTTTATTTTATAATATGGTATTTATTATCTGGTATTATATTTGTTTTACATTTCATCCACAACTTCTGTATTGCAACCAGATTTAAAGAGAATACAGAAAATGTGATTTATTTTTTGATGTCACTTGGGGAAGGTTTGTACTCAGTATTAAATGGTTTATTCACTAAACTGTGACTTGTAGGGAGCTGAAAATAAGGTTTTAGAATTTAGGCAAAAAGAGACAATTTGGAAAAAAAAATCTCCAACTCTTTAATCAAGTGTGCCAAACTTTTTGCTATTTGGTTTTAAATTCGTTATAAATCGGTGTTTAGTGAATTAACCCTTTATGCTTTACGTGTATATCTCGGAACAAATCTGTACAACTCCTATAATTCAGGCCACTTTTGTTTCCACAACATTTTCAGAGCTGGCATAGGACTCCCCGAATCCCTTGTGCTTCAGTTAAAGGAGTATGTCCTGTCATCCAAATTATCAACTGGTGGTCTTATGAAGGATGAGAGTGGTAGTTTAAAAACAAAGATGCCTAGCTATGGTAACACCGTCCTCTTCCTGACACATCAGGTCCAACTAGAGAGTAGGTCAGGCATAGGCAACCTTCGGCACTGCAGATGTTTTGGACTCCACCTCCCATGATGCTTTGCCAGCATTATGTGTGGTAGAGCATTATGGGGGATGTAGTCCACAACATCTGGAGTGCTGAAGGTTGCCTATCCCTGGAGTAGGTCCTCCTGGTCATTAGCCCCATGTAGAACAGAGATCAGAGAAAAGCATAGTGACCCTGTTAATAATTATTATTACTATAATTAATATTAATATTAGCATTTATTCCACAGTGCTTTGCAATATTATAAAGGGGGAAAGTTAACAATAAATGAGGCAATTACTAAATATTACAGGAATAATAGGTTGATGAGGACCCTGCTATAAAGAGTTAACAATCTATACAGCTGTTTCCCCCGTTGTTTGATGTACAACCCCCTCGTCATTTTTAGTATCTTGGTAGAAGATTCTATAACTGATAAAAACCATTGTTAGAAATAAGTAAATTGATATCCTGCCCTAAAAATGCTTTTACACCTTACCTTACATCAGCTGATTCCTGTTTACTGTGTCAGTACTTGCTAATTTCTACTGTAGGGAATAACAATGTAGGGGACACTGGGGGAACAGAACAAATAGTGATTATAGGGCACTGGGGGAACAGAACAAATAGTGATTATAGGGCACTGGGGAATAGAACAAATAGTGATTAGAGGGCACTGGGGGAAAAGAACAAATAGTGATTAGAGGGCACTGGGGGAACAGAACAAATAGTGATTATAGGGCACTGGGGGAACAGAACAAATAGTGATTAGAGGGCACTGGGGGAACAGAACAAATAGTGATTAGAGGGCACTGGGGGAACAGAACAAATAGTGATTAGAGGGCACTGGGGGAACAGAACAAATAGTGATTAGAGGACACTGGGGGAACAGAACAAATAGTGATTAGAGGACACTGGGGGAACAGAACAAATAGTGATTATAGGGCACTGGGGGAACAGAACAAATAGTGATTAGAGGGCACTGGGGGAACAGAACAAATAGTGATTAGAGGGCACTGGGGGAACAGAACAAATAGTGATTAGAGGGCACTGGGGGAACAGAACAAATAGTGATTAGAGGGCACTGGGGGAACAGAACAAATAGTGATTAGAGGACACTGGGGGAACAGAACAAATAGTGATTAGAGGACACTGGGGGAATAGAACAAATAGTGATTAGAGGACACTGGGGGAATAGTGCATATAGTGATTACAGGACACTTGAGGAATAGTGCAGATAGTGATTAGAGGACACTGGGGTATAGTGTGTATAGTGATGAGAGGGCACTGAGTTAATAGTGTGTATAGTGATGAGAGGGCACTGAGTTAATAGTGTGTATAGTGATGAGAGGGCACTGGGGTATAGTGTGTATAGTGGTGAGAGGACACTGGGGTATAGTATGTATAGTGGTGAGAGGACACTGGGGTATAGTGTGGATAGTGATGAGAGGGCACTGAGTTAATAGTGTGTATAGTGATGAGAGGGCACTGGGGTATAGTGTGTATAGTGGTGAGAGGACACTGGGGTATAGTGTGGATAGTGGTGAGAGGACACTGGGGTATAGTGTGGATAGTAGTGAGAGTACACTGGGGTATAGTGTGGATAGTGATGAGAGGGCACTGAGTTAATAGTGTGTATAGTGGTGAGAGGACACTGGGGTATAGTGTGTATAGTGATGAGAGGGCACTGAGTTAATAGTGTGTATAGTGATGAGAGGGCACTGGGGTATAGTGTGTATAGTGGTGAGAGGACACTGGGGTATAGTGTGTATAGTGGTGAGAGGACACTGGGGTATAGTGTGTATAGTGGTGAGAGGACACTGGGGTATAGTGTGTATAGTGATTAGAGGACACTGGGGTATAGTGTGTATAGTGATGAGAGGGCACTGAGTTAATAGTGTGTATAGTGATGAGAGGGCACTGGGGTATAGTGTGTATAGTGGTGAGAGGACACTGGGGTATAGTGTGTATAGTGGTGAGAGGTCACTGGGGTATAGTGTGGATAGTGATGAGAGGGCACTGAGTTAATAGTGTGTATAGTGATGAGAGGGCACTGGGGTATAGTGTGTATAGTGGTGAGAGGACACTGGGGTATAGTGTGGATAGTGGTGAGAGGACACTGGGGTATAGTGTGGATAGTGGTGAGAGTACACTGGGGTATAGTGTGGATAGTGATGAGAGGGCACTGAGTTAATAGTGTGTATAGTGGTGAGAGGACACTGGGGTATAGTGTGGATAGTGGTGAGAGTACACTGGGGTATAGTGTGGATAGTGATGAGAGGGCACTGAGTTAATAGTGTGTATAGTGGTGAGAGGACACTGGGGTATAGTGTGTATAGTGATGAGAGGGCACTGAGTTAATAGTGTGTATAGTGATGAGAGGGCACTGGGGTATAGTGTGTATAGTGGTGAGAGGACACTGGGGTATAGTGTGTATAGTGGTGAGAGGACACTGGGGTATATTGTGTATAGTGATTAGAGGACACTGGGGTATAGTGTGTATAGTGATGAGAGGGCACTGAGTTAATAGTGTGTATAGTGATGAGAGGGCACTGGGGTATAGTGTGGATAGTGGTGAGAGGACACTGGGGTATAGTGTGGATAGTGGTGAGAGTACACTGGGGTATAGTGTGGATAGTGATGAGAGGGCACTGAGTTAATAGTGTGTATAGTGGTGAGAGGGCACTGGGGTATAGTGTGTATAGTGATGAGAGGGCACTGAGTTAATAGTGTGTATAGTGATGAGAGGGCACTGGGGTATAGTGTGTATAGTGGTGAGAGGACACTGGGGTATAGTGTGTATAGTGATGAGAGGACACTGGGGTATAGTGTGGATAGTGATGAGAGGGCACTGAGTTAATAGTGTGTATAGTGATGAGAGGACACTGGGGTATAGTGTGGATAGTGATGAGAGGGCACTGAGTTAATAGTGTGTATAGTGGTGAGAGGACACTGGGGTATAGTGTGGATAGTGATGAGAGGGCACTGAGTTAATAGTGTGTATAGTGATGAGAGGACACTGGGGTATAGTGTGGATAGTGATGAGAGGGCACTGAGTTAATAGTGTGTATAGTGGTGAGAGGACACTGGGGTATAGTGTGGATAGTGAACACAAACGCTTGTAAATAAATGGAACCGCTCTACATGTTACACTATCATATTTACGATGTATCAATGTAAAGTAAACCTTGCAATAACAATAACGGATAAACAAACCACTTGAGCACTAGTCTAAAACATGTTATCTTGTTTGCACCTGGAAAAGACTGTATATGCGCAGTGTAAATTGATATGTTTCTCTGAAGGCCTGCGTGCCTACCTTTATACCTTTATCTCTTACTACACTTCAATAAACAAGATTTACAAAAAAAAAAAATAGTGTGGATAGTAGTGTGAGAAGGCACTGAGGCATAGTGCGGAACACGGTGAAAGGTAAAGTAGAGAAAAATTACAAACAGTAGTAACAGGGATACTTGGAGACTGGCATAGATAGTGGCGAGAGGGACACTGTGGAATAGCGCAGGTTTTTTTACAGTACGAACAGTAAGGGAAGGTGGGTTTATCAGTACATTTTCTAAAATTAATGTGACAAACCAATTATTACATGAAAACGTATTGTCAATTTATTATCAAAGTATATGAGTGGCTGCAGGCATATGAATGTAATTGTGTGTAAATGTTTAATTGTACGCTTATGCAAGAGTGCATTATTAGGTGTTAATAAGTTGATTGTTATGTATACGTGGGTGACTAAAAATGCATGTGATTTTTTTGTGTGGCTATGTATGTGTCTGATTTGATGTGTAATATGAGGCTTCAGAGGTTCGGATTGGTGGGAAGAGTTCATCAGTTTGCGCTTGGACCCAATGCCCTTCTTTAAACAGAAATATAGAATTTTGTTGAGACTGAATCAATATACCATATAAAATTACACACACAAAAAAACTCTGTAATAAATGTTCTGCCTGGGTATGCTAACTGAGAAGTTGATTAATCTCTTTTGTGATTATTCATTAAGGGTTTTTGTTTTTTTCTGAAAGTCAGGATTAAATGGAACTATGAGGAGTCACGATTGTCTGAATTTTACAAATCTATCCCTGGATTCTTGCAAAACAGAGCCCACGCAAATCAATCTTAAATTTCTTGTTCATTTCAATTAAATAGAAATTAATCTAGAGTCCTGCTGACTGCATTATCCTGTGGTGAAATCCTCTCCTCAACCCCATTTCTTTATACCTTGGGCAGTGGACGGAGGTAACCCAACCCATTCCTCTGGACCTCCTTATTTATTTACATATTACTTTAATTCATTTGATTTTCAGCTGAAGCCTGCTTGTTGTTTCCATCATTTTTATAATTTCCTACAAAAATCAGAAAAATAGAAATCTCAGAATACCTAAAATAATGGATTCATCAAGATTAATACGATTTGAGAAATGTTTAAGTTCCACAACTTTGTATTGAATTTTGGCTTCTTTGGATTTAATAATTCAGCAACCGTAGAATAGATATGTATTATATTTGCACAGATGTGACCAGTATCTAAATTGAACCCCATGTGCTGTTAATGAAGACTCAATGTCAATTTTTGGTTCAAATTCCACATTGTTGGTTTCTCTCAGCTCAGGTTTGCTTCTGTTCCGCTAACTTTTTAATCAGATTTAATTTGATTTTCTGTTTGAATAACCATAGTTCAGCACTTTGGATGTGTTGGACCTCCAAAAATTATAACAATATTAATAAGTCAGCGGTAACATTAAGACCCTCATCGACCCCATATATAACCTCTAATCCAATTGTATGATGGAAATAGTGTCCTCGTTGTAATTTGATTTGTGTAAATAGTAATGGTTCATCTTGGGTGCTTAAACAGTCTTGGACAAAAAAAACAAGTCCTGTGCTCAAACTCCCACCACTTCTGGGCGGCAGCAGCAACAATAGTACACATCAGCCCCAATACATACAGTAAAAACCAAAGGGAAAAAAGTTACCTGCGCTCTCTCCCAAATCCCTATGTATATTTAAACAAATGGAGGTTATTTAGTTACTCCAATGGCCACTGGAGGGAATGCACGCCTGCCACGTCAAGGCAAACCTCTCAGGTGGGTCCTACTCTGACCTTTCACCTTGCCTCCTTGACCTTCTGGCAAAAATATCTCTAATGAGACAGAGAGGGGTATTTTTTCTATACACCCCTAAATACTTATTAAAGGAGCACTATAGGATCAGGAACATAAACATGTATTCCTCACGCTATAGGGTTAAAACCACCATCTAGCCCCCCCGTGGCCCCTCATGCCTCCATAAATATAGGAAATTTTACTTGTATTCAAGTCTGCAGCTCCTGGCTTTGCCCCTGTTTCCTTTAGACCTGCCCACTGCCTGCTGGCATCATCAGAAGTGGTAGCCTGATCCAATCACAGTGCTTCCCCATAGGATTGGCTGAGACTGACAAAGAGGCAGATCAGGGGCAGAGCCAGCACAATTCAAACACAGCCCTGGCCAATCAGCATCTCCTCATAGAGATTAATTGAATCAATGTATCTCTATGAGGAAAGTTCAGTGTCTGCATGCAGAGGGAGGAGACACTGAATGTTTGGATGCATTTTAGGCAGCCATGACCCAGGAAGGATCTCTAATAGCCATCTGAGGAGTGGCCAGTGAAGTTATCACTAGGCTGTAATGTAAACACTGCATTTTCTCTGAAAAGACAGTGTTTACAGCAAAAAGCCTGAAGGTAATGATTCTACTCACCAGAACAAATTCAATAAGCTGTAGTTGTTCTGGTTACTATAGTTTCCCTTTAACCCTTAAACAGTCTTATGTCTCACATGGTGCCCAGCAACAATTATCAAGCACATGCCACAATGTAACAAAGCCAACGAACCAAACCGCTAACTATGCTTTAGATGGGCCTCTTATTACAAATGGCTCAAAAACACTACAAGTATGTGTTTCTTCCCCAGGGATCATTCATTAAACAGTGATTGGTATTGAGTTGTCAACCTAGTTCCAAATTGAAGGTCAAACTGTCAAACAACCTCCAGGTATTCTCCTAGATGCGGTTTCTCACAGAGGAGGTAAACATTTTAAAATAAATGGTTTCATTTTCACTGCACTAAAACGCATTCTGCGTGTATCTGCTAAACTGATATGGTTCTCTCTCAAATTAGAGATTAACGATGTCAGATTTTCCTTAAAACAATTGCATGGGCAAAACCCGGCCAAAGCAAAACAAATTTCAGACGGATGAACTGATTTGGCTGAACCAATTTTTTGTCGTGCACAAGTATAGTAATGATATCCCTCCTTGAGAGAGAAACTAAATGTGGTTAATTTCCCCCAACATCGAAGCATGAAGCTCTGAGAAAGTTCAAAATGTTTTAAAATTTTCTGTCACATTTTAATGGTTAATAACCACTGTGTTTGTGTAGTCTGCGAAATGATATTAAGTGTAGAAACTGACTCTGCTCTATCCTGGAAGTGAGAACCTCCATCTTGGCTTCCTGTCAACAATTGTTAGAAGAGTAAGCCTTCCTTGTCATTGAACATAGAAGCTGTGAGAAGAAAACCAGAAACAAAGTTTCTAATTCTTCTCCTGTAAATCACTGTGTGCCCTGGATGTGCCAGGACTAAACTGGACTGTGATGTAAGTTGCAAAAATATTTAATATACAATCAAAAGAAATGGAGCATTAATTGAATATATATTATATATACATATCGGGTTACTTTAGGTTAGTGGTGTCGGACAGCAATGGGTGTGTAAAACAGGAGCCTTGCTTATATGTGTACAATGGAGTGTTTGTATTGTAATCTCGACAGCAATCACTGGGAGGAAAAGAATGGTTCCATAAGCTCATCACCTCATATTAAACTATTTACCTCTCCCCCACCCCTGTTTACAGGCTATGGATGACACAAATTTCAACATATAGATGTAGAAAACATGCCATTGTGTGACAAGTGGTTCAGAATGTCCCTGTGATGTGATGTGTGCAGGTCAATGATTATGATCAATGTTATTAACTGGGGATACGAATAGAAAGAAAATACAAAATGGTATATTCAAACCGCAGAGCTCTGCTTAGGAGAAATAAAAGCAGGATTTGAAACATGACGGCACAAACAGCTGTGTAGAAACAGCGAAAGGAGGTTTTCAATTTTCTATTTAGTGAATAAACCATCAAAATATATGAAACAGTTTTAGAAAGTAGTTAAGGCGAAAAGACGATAGATGGCAACTTTAAGCCAAGGGGCTAGCACAAACAAATGGCCTTTTTGGATATAAATATCACAGAATTCTATCAGGGATTATCATTAAAGTGAGAATTGTTAAAGTGAATTCAAAGTGAACTTTTAAGTGGCAGAATTAAAAACAAATCCCCATGTCAATAATGGTTCCAGTTTGGATATTCTGTACTCATTTGAAATTCAATTTAACCCACTTTGAATTTTACGCAGGTGTCTCTAGAATAAAAAGGAACTCGATTCAACCTGAGATTTTTTGGATTGACAGGTGTGCCTTCATTAAGATATTGGCTTGCCCAAATATCTCTACCTGTTTATAATCATACCCTTCTCTTCCAGCATAACACAATCAATGGGCACATGACGGGATAGCAACTTTGTTATTAACGCTAATCATAAGCCTTGGTGGGAGCCAGATCTTATCACCATGGCAACTTTACAGTTGTTTAAGTAGCCAGATATAACAAAATAATAGTGTCAATGATAATATTTAATTAGGCAGTCAGATTGAAGACGTCTTCTAAAACGTTATATATTTATATACATTTTGTACCATTTTCAGCTTTAGTTTAAACCCTTTATAACTGACACAATGATCTAGATTCACAATAAACCAAATCAACACCATTGTGTTTCAATGCAAAAAAAAGAAAATAATGGGCAAGATTTGCAAAGTTCTAGATTGGTTGCTTGATGGCCAAGTTCTAAAAACATACTGTATTGTTTTACATTTCTCTGTCAATCCACCATCGAGCAATATATCCAGTGTTGCACACTATGTTGGTGCTATGTAAATAAATGATACTTTAATCTATTTTCTAACACTGATCGTTAAATTAAATAGATACTTTCAGGGTTATTAACTAAAGTGAGAATTCGATGCGGATCTCAAATTTAAGGTCAAAATTGCCAGCCTTGCCTACCACGAACATATGCCATGTTTACAGAGGAACTGTAACATTCTGGGTTATTCTGGCACAGCCTGGCACATGATGCAGATTGCAATGTCTATGCATTTCCTTTTTGAACCCAAAGACAGGAAGTCATGAATAAATCACGTTTTCTGTACAGTGCCGACAGCAGGGTGCATTTTATACTTACCCCTGGGGCACAACACACCATAGTAAACACTTCAGAAGTGTCACAGCTCCTCATTTAGTTAAAATGTTTAATCATAACAAAATAATGTTTTAGCGTGTTAAGAAATGTATATAGTAAATTCTTGCCATTATTTTCATTGTTACTATTAAAAATATGTTGCAACATAGAAAAATAAGAAAAATATTTCCAATCCCTTACATTCTGAATTTGGTAGCAAACTATGTAGGGATATTCTTTAAAATGTATTTGTCAAGCCAAATATGAATGATGTCACTTTAAAGAGCATATCATGTATCAGTACATTGTGTTAGACAAGCTACCGGCAAATATATAGATGGAAAATTGTTTAGGGCTAGAGTCTATTAGATGAGATAAGTTTATCTCTTTTACTGAATAGCATTTTTGTTAAGTCAATGGAAAAAAAAAAACTATTTAATTACAGATAAATCTATGTCACGTATTAGAATTTAACCCTTTTGGCTGTATTTCTGTGCTGTTGGCATGGCAGTAATGGCTATATCTAAGGTTTTTGTGAGCAACTATCAAAAATCATGGAAAAAAGTGCTGTTAAAATATTGCCGCAGGAAGCCCACAGGCTTATTCAATAAAACTGGAATTGTGAAGAATTGATCATTTAGGGCAAAATAGCTGAATTAGAGAAATACAGATCCCCCCACCCTCCAGTTCAGTTAGTTTTAACTAGAATTACCTTCTCAATTCTCCACAATACCCAGCCTTGAATCCTTAATATCAGTACCCTAAATATCATTTTTTTTAAGTTAACAATTACCACTACAAGCCAGTAAAATCTATTACTATCCAAAACAAATTATGCAACAAATCAGATACACATGCTGCAAATCTTATCATGTAAGAGTGATATTGCAAAGATAACTTATTCACATGTTTCTTCTCATAGGGAATGATAGAATCTGTAACACAGAGCCAATTAATGCCATCGTACTCTGATGCACAGTTCTCCTGGATGGACTTGTTCTGTTCTGACATTTATCCTGCATATCGAGATCCACCAGGTAAGGATTGAATGTGTCTACGTGTAGGCGTGCACAAGGGGTGTGTCCATGTACACTCTAATGCAGAGACAGATTGACCATGTCCCCTGTTTAGGTCTACATGGGCAAATTTGTGTGGGTCTGTAGCCCATGGATCAGCGCAGCTAAGAGGAATAGGCCTTGACAGAGCCAGGAGGTAGGCATAGCAGCCACAGGAATTTAGTGACAGCTAGCATGCTGGGTAGGGTGGAGTCATAAGGGGAGTATTTATACCAGCCATTATATGAAGTGGCCATTTTAACTGAACCTAAGCTTACCTGTCAGTTGTCCCTCCCACCCTCCCTGTATTTGGTTAGGTTAGTTGATTTCCCGTTTTTTCACAGCGGCGGGGAATGGCCTGGTTAAATCGGAGGGTAGATGGAAGAGAAAGTGGGCATCCTGAGGTTTAGTGTGGATTGGGCAGTGTTGCACGTGGTTGGTAGGTTCGAGCCCGTCGGTGGCTCCGAACCTGGGGGTGTGGTGGTGTCTTGGTACACCCTACACTGGAACTAGTGGGTAGCGGTGTCTTGGTACACCCCTACAATGGATATGGTGGGTAGCGGTGTCTTGGTACACCCCTACAATCGATATGGTGGGTAGCGGTGTCTCGGTACACCCCTACAATTTAACCTGGTGGAAATGTGGTCAAATTGGGCAGCCAGTTTCTGTGTTAACATGTTATTTAGATTGTTATCTATTGTTATTATTGTGGGGTCATTGCTAGGGGTATGTTATGTATATGGGGGATGTTAACTTTAATAAGATTTGTTGGCAATGACCCCATTTGTTATTCCTTAATTATTTTATTAATAATTTAATAAAGCTGTGGACTAATTATTTCCAACAGTATAACCTGTGTCCGTGTTTTAATGGGGGTTTGGGTAAGGTTAGCGCATATGCCGGCAAATCCGACTGTGCGCCTGTCATGGGTTATATTGTTTTGAATTGGAAGACACAAAATCATGACTATTTCTATATTCAAGTAGATGCCATTTTTAAATGGTTATTTCTTTAAGTAACGTTCATATGGTAATTTTACCCGGGTACACAACCCTTTGTAATGCATGATTGTGTCTTTTGATGGGAATTGGGGTCCCAACTTGACATCCTCCCAAGAACAAATACGTGATCTGTGATGTTTTTCTTCATGGACCCCATGTGCAAACAAAGATTTAGATCCTATGGGACCCTAGGCAGGTTACCAGTTTGGGACCACTCTTCATGTGCAACATAAGAATGGTTAATGGGGCCTAGCCAATTCATGGTTTCGGGCCCCTGTCTAATCCATGGGCCCTAGGGGGCCACCTTGTGTCATCATGTGGTTAAGCTTGCCCAGTGCTATGTATGTCATGATCACTGTCTCATCTCACCCGGCATATATTGGCAAACTCCTCCAGGGACATCTTCCATACTAATTGTAGTCTGGCAGCCTGGTCAGCCTTAGATACTCCAGTCCATGGGTGAAGAGTACGGCAAACACAGGCCAGAAGCCCGCACACAAATCCACAGAGCGCCAGGCTAACAGAGGCTATGTAAAATTCCTTCAGAACAGACATCCCAACATTATTTTAACTTTCAGAAGAATGTTTTTTGGCTGCAGCCCATAACCCCCTTTCCAGCCCTCCCATACTTAGAGGTCCAGGGTTCAATTCTCACCCTGGCATGTCTTCCTATGCTCAACTGGTCCATGAAATGGATTTGCATTTACCTTCTCCTTTAATGGGTTAAAAACACAGTCCTGTGGGACTTGAACCTTGCAAGGATTTTCTGATGTTCAAAAATGTATTGTGGTATGTGACCATAGTGTCAGTACTGTAGGCAAAGGAGAGACCACTGCAGATCACAGGGAGCCCTCCGACATATTATACTCATTCTTTAACGCCTTAAGGACACATGACATGTGTGACATGTCATGATTCCCTTTTATTCCAGAAGTTTGGTCCTTAAGGGGTTAAAGCCTCAAGGGATTCTACGTTAATCAGTACTGATGTTCTTAGATTAAATGTATGCAAATTGTAGAAGAGTCATGCAAGATTCATAATTAGATAGCAACGTTTATCTTTTCCAAGGAAGGATAATTGCGACACAGCTGTATATATGTATATGTTTAGAAATAAGGTAGACACCAGGATGGAGTGCAACCATAAAACATGCGCAGCAATCTAAAGTCAATAGCAGAGTTAAGAATACACTTCAACTGCAAAATATTCGAGGTGTTGAGGAGAGTTTGGTCTATCTGTCTGTATATTTCTTTACGGCTATGAAACCTTCCAGCTGGACCTCATGCGTGATGTGAGATGGACATGACATAGAAACATAGAATGTGACGGCAGATAAGAACCATTCGGCCCATCTAGTCTGCCCAATTTTCTAAATACTTTCATTATCTTATATCTAGGATAGCCCACACATGTTTAAACTCCCTCACTGCGTTGACCTCTACCACGTAAACCTTTGCCCCTCCAATTTAAGACTATGTCGTCTTGTTGTGGTAGTTTTTCTTCTTTTAAATATAGTCTCCTCCTTTACTGTGTTGATTCCCTTTATGTATTTAAATGTTTCTATCATATCCCCACTGTCTCGTCTCTTTTATGTATATAGAAAATGTAGTGGATAGGTGCCTACTGCACAGCCATAAGGATGTGCTACCAAGAGGCACTGGTTTCCGAAAAATATTCAAAGAGAGGGGTGGGATCGTTTTACTGAATCAAAAACATTCCGGATGGCCCTGACTGCCATGTGAGATACCTTGATGAACTCCGCCAAATGTGACACATGTGAAATGCAAAAATGATGGTTCAGTGCGAACATTAACAGGCTATAATTAATAGGATCCGACACACGTCTTCGGTTTGGTTTTGGTTTTGCCACAGAGTCTTTCATAAACATCATTTCAAATACTTAGCATTCTTTTTGGAGAACATTAGGATTACATTAATTAGTGGGTGTAGCAGTTAATTAGTAAGCTATGCTATTATGTTCAGATTTTCTGATTAATCACTTTGTGCATCATGGTTTATTAGTCACATTGTGATGTAGCATTGGTATCGAATCAGACCTGTATCTGTTTGTCTGTCCTGCCCAGTGTGGTTTCTAGGTTTGAAGTTAATTTACTAAACAGAGAATTGTGGGAACTGAAAACAGAATTTCTTAGATTCAATACAAAAAAACAAAAGCAAAGTAGAAGTTTATAGCTGATTTTGTTTTACAGTTTTGAAGAAGAAAGAAAATAAATTCTAGCTAGTGGCCCTCAAAAAAAACTTGATGGGATTGATCTACGAGGATTGATCTCCCCATATATCTCTCACTTAGTTCCATGCAGAATATTTCTGCTTAGAAATGATCTATGTGCCTTTAGGATACATTGTTCTTACCTCAACGTCTTCCAAAACACTTCTTCTTGTAAGCTCTTTACGTCAGGGTCCTCATCAGCTCTTCTTTTTGTTTACTTTAACTAGTATTCCATAATTTTATATGTCTTTTTATATTTATTTAGTTTAATGGATGCAGTGTGTGCATAGTGGATTGTGTGTGTGTGTGTGGTGGATGGAGTGTGTGAGTGTGTAGTGGATGGAGTGTGTGTGTGGTGGATACAGTGTGTGTGTGTGTATGTGTGTGTGTGTGTGTCTGTGTGTGGTGGATACAATGTGTGTAAAGTGGATGGAGTGTGTGTGTGTTTGTGTGTGGTGGATACAATGTGTGTGTATATTGGATGGAGTGTGTGTGTGTGTGTAGTGGATGGAGTGTGTGTGTGTTTAGTGGATACAGTGTGTGTATAGCACATGATGTGTGTGTATTTATTGGATGCAGTGTGTGTACAGTGAATGCAGTGTGTGTATAGTGAATTCAGTATGTGTAGAGTCGACACAGTGTGTGTGTTTAGGGGATGCAGTGTGTGTTTAGTGAATGCAGTGTATAGTGGATGCAGTGTATGTTTAGTGGATGCAGTGTGTGTTTAGTGGATACAGTATGAGCATAGTGGATGGAGTGTGTGTGTGTGTGTGTGTGTGTGTGTTTATAGTGGATGCAGTGTGTGTGTGTATAGTGCATGCAGTGTGTGTGTTGTGAATGAAGTGTGTGTGTTTATTGCATGCAGTCTCTGTATAGTGGATAAAGTGTGTGTGTGTGTATTGGATACAGTATGTGTTTAGTGGATGCAGTGTGTGTATAGTGAATGCAGTATGTGTAGAGTGGATGCAGTGTGTGTATTTAGTGGATGCAGTGTGTGTATAGTGGATGCAGTGTGTTTAGTGGATGCAGTGTGTGTTTATCGCATGCAGTGTCTGTTTAGTGGATGCAATGTATGTATAGTGGATGTAGTGTGTGTTTTTAGTGCATGTAGTGTGTGTGTGTTTAGTGGATGCAGTGTGTGTTTAGTGGATGCAGTGTGTGTGTTTAGAGGATACAGTGCGTGTGTTTAGTGGATGCAGTGTGTGTGTTTAGTGGATGCAATGTGTGTGTTTAGAGGATACAGTGCATGTGTTTAGTGGATGCAGTGTGTGTTTAGTGGATACAGTATGAGCATAGTGGATGGAGTGTGTGTGTGTGTGTGTGTGTTTATAGTGGATGCAGTGTGTGTGTGTATAGTGCATGCAGTGTGTGTGTTGTGAATGAAGTGTGTGTGTTTATTGCATGCAGTCTCTGTATAGTGGATAAAGTGTGTGTGTGTGTATTGGATACAGTATGTGTTTAGTGGATGCAGTGTGTGTATAGTGAATGCAGTATGTGTAGAGTGGATGCAGTGTGTGTATTTAGTGGATGCAGTGTGTGTATAGTGGATGCAGTGTGTGTAGTGGATGCAGTGTGTGTTTATCGCATGCAGTGTGTGTTTAGTGGATGCAATGTATGTATAGTGATTGTAGTGTGTGTGTTTGGTGCATGTAGTGTGTGTGTGTTTAGTGGATGCAGTGTGTGTTTAGTGGATGCAGTGTGTGTGTTTAGAGGATACAGTGCGTGTGTTTAGTGGATGCAGTGTGTGTGTTTAGTGGATGCAATGTGTGTG